CATGGTGGCGCATGCTGTCGCGGTCCCAGCTACTCGGGAGGAGCTGGAGGCAGGAGGTCGTTGAGCGCAGGAGTCTGAGGTTGCTGTGAGCGGAGGTGACGCACGCAGCCATCCAGCTCTAGCCTGGCACAAAGTGAGCACTCTGTCTCAAAATAACGAATAAAAAGTAAATTTAAAAAACATATTAAATCTAATATAAAAAGGAAGTAGATAATTATAATAGAGGTGAGCTCTAGGTCCCAGGATTGGGGGAGATGCGGAAAAAGTTGGAGATTAATTAATTTAAATAATATATCAAATTTAGGAGGGTGCAATGGGCGCGTAGAGGCTTAAAGCAGCGAAGAGTCCGATTGACAAATTGCCCCTGCCCTTCTGCGTGCTGACCCCAACCGCAGTGGTCTGAGTTGCGTGTCTGGTTCGTTTCAGTTTGTTTATTCTGTCATAATAGACGGGAACATCTGGAGTCCACTTGGCGGGCTTTTTCTTCTTCTTCGAGCGCTGGGATACTTACGACTAGTCGCTGTGTTGCCGTTCAGCGAAGCGACAACCAGGAAGACTTGTGTTTGTTCCCATCTGCCTTTTGTTCATGGTTTAAGGCATTGCCAGAACCTGTTGTGGTGCTGGGACTACAGGCATGCACCACCATGTCTGGCTTATTTTTTTCTATATATATATTTTTTAGTTGGCCAATTAATTTCTTTCTGTTTATAGTAGAGACGGGGTCTCTGTCTTTCTCAGGCTGGTTTCGAACTCCTGAGCTCAAACAGTCCTCCCGCCTCGGCCTCCCAGAGTGCTGGGATGACAGGCGTGAGCCACCTCTCCTGGCCCTTTTTCACTTTCATAATATAAACACCAAAATATCTTCTTATCATGAGAGTATTTTTGAAATCTATTTAAATTTCAAAGATTGGGAAAATTTGTTTCTTTCCTCCCTACCTTTTTAGGTGTCTGCTTTAAGGTTAACACAAGGACATGAATCTCTTACCGTGTTCTGTTGTCCGGCTGAAGTAGACATTAGTGTCTACTTAAATCTTGTTAGGAAAGATTTCTCATCTTTTTTCTGTTTATGCCTGTGATTTCTGTGTTTGTTATTTCCGTGACATCTTTATTTTACCGTTCCGCTCTGCTGGTGTTGATTTATTTTTGCGCTATGGCTTTAATGTTAATTTCCTTGGATCCTTTTACAGCTGCCTGGTTTTACATACTTTCGGTTTCTCTTCTTCCTGTATTTGTTGGTCCCATAGCACTTGCGTTTTTCTTCAGGGGTCTTTAAAGACGCCTTTAAAAGTTACATGTAGCAGTTTTGGAAGCGGATAATTTTAAAGCAGAAAACGAATGAGGGCCATGATCCTGCTGACATTTAAATTTTTTTTTTTTTTAATGCAGAGAGTCCATAAAATCATAAAAAGAAAAACATTTAAAAAGCATAAAAAGAAAAAGCTATTATCCTTCTTCCCGACAGACACAGAGCAGCCTTCCCCGCAGTCACTGCGAATGCTCAGTTCGAGAGGGAAGCCCACGGACCACCGCGTGCGTGCTGCTAGTTGCACGTCACTTTGTTTCAGAGCTTCGTCATTTGACTCCAGACTTTGACCTAAATACACGAGAAATACACGAGAACCACCTTTCTTCCCCCTGACCCCCGCCCCCATTTTTTGTTCCTAATTCCAGTTTCTGGAAAAATATTTTAAAATTTCTTTCAGGGTAAGAATACTCCATATTTTTGTGTTACTAGAAAATTATTTTTTCTTTAAGCATGTTTTAAAGTATACTCTTCATGAGGTTTGCTTTTTGTCCTGATTAGAGCCCCCACATCTCTTAGAATCCATGTCTCGTTTTATGATAGAATTGAATCAGTTTCTTATAGGTAAATTTTTACATGTGTCATAGCCTAGACTGAGATACTCCTTTTGGGGGGGGAGGGATGGAGTCTCACTCTGTCGCCCACGTTAGAGTGCCGTGGCGTCAGCCTAGCTCACAACGACCTCCAAACTCCTAGGCTCAAGCCATCCTCCTGCCTCAGCCTCCTCCCGAGTAGCTGGGACTACAGGCACGCGCCACCACGCCCGGCTAATTTTTTCTATATATTTTTAGTTGGCCAATTAATCTCTTTCTGTTTATACTAGAGACGGGGTCTCGCTCTTACTCAGGCTGGTCTTGAACTCCTGACCTTGAGCATCCCAGAGTGCTGGGACGACAGGCGTGAGCCACCGCGCCCGGCCAGATAGAGTGCATTCTGCATAGTGGAATGTGATTCAGGGGTTCGAAACCTTCCCAGGGGTATTTTTATTTTGGAGAAGACGACTAGAGTATGGGAATACCTTTCACCAGATCCAGTCCATTTAAATGCAGTTCCACAAATATTTGTCGAATGCCGCCTTGTGTACATCCGGGCACCGTGCTAGGTGCCAGTGGCATGTTCCCGAACCAAACCAGTGGACCAGAAAGACCATGTCACCTGCGTAGGAGAGCAGAAGAGAAACTGAGGCGTTTAAGCAGAAAAAAAAAATAGTTGCATATCACTTTCTGGACTCACAGGCACCGGTTTTGTGATTGAGTCCTGAGAGAGTGGAGAAAGATGAGGCCAAGAGAGGCCGGCAGGGGCCAAGTACAAGGCGTTTTGTCATCAGGCCAAGAAACTCGGATGTAGGATATGACACTGTGATTATCTGCTTACCATGATGACGTGAGATAAATCCATAGAAGGAAATGTTCTAACTTTTCTAATTTTTTAACTGAAACATTCTCACTTTGAAAGGTTATTTTTCAGTCTGTTTTTTTAAGGATCTCTAGCAGTAACATTCTTTTTTAATAAACAGAGCATAGGCTAACTTTTTAAAAACTTGGGGTTTTCTGTGAATACTGTTTATCCTACTTTGCCTTTGACACCATAGTTTTTCTCTTCCGCTTCTGTTTTCCCTTTCACAACGAGACGAGCTTTATCATTGTTTCTCATTGTTAATCTTACTGTAAGACATACTCACGTAGAAATTCAAGCCAACACCAGAGTTTAGGGAAGCTGCGATCACCCCACGGCACTCTAGCCGAGGTGACAGAGTAAGACTCTGTCCCTAAAAGAATAAAGTTTATGGAGGAAAGTGAAAGTCACTTGAAATTCCATTTCCCAGGGGTAGCTACACTTGACATTTGGGTTAAAACTCCTCGGCTGAGCATTGTGGCTCACGCCTGTCATCCTAGCAGTCTGGGAGGCCGAGGCGTGAGGATCGTTTGAGCTCAGGAGTTCGAGACCAGCCTGAACAAGAGTGAGACACTCCCATCTCTACTAAAAAAAAAAAAAAAATAGCAATTATCTTGGATAAATAAATATATATTATGTATATATATATATACTATAACTATTTTAGCCGGGCATGGTGGTGCATGCCTGTAGTCCCAGCTACTCAGGAGGCTGAGGCAGGAGGATGGCTTGAGCCCAGGCATTTGAGGTTGCTGTGAGCGAGGCTGATGCCGCGGCACTCTAGCCAGGGCAACAGAGTGAGACTCTGTCTGAAAAAAAAACAAAAACCAAACTCCTCCGTATGTTTGGGTATGCCTGGCTGTCTCACACCTGCCTACCTGTTTGCTCACCTGCCTGTCTACCTGCTTCTAAGGCACCGTCATCCCTGCTCGCTGTTTTATGACCTGCTCTTGTGCCCCTGTAACAATGGGATCTTTCCCCATCAGTGAGAACACGCAGGTTATTGCTCTCCTGATCTATGGTGCGGAATCTCAGCGGGCATCTGAGAAAACAGCATTTCTCAGCGTTTTAGAGTTATGTTTAATTAGGTCACTAAACTCTGACTGGTTGCTTAGCAGCCAAAAAGCTACAGATAAGTAAGGATTTTAGACAGTGGGTGAAGAAATGGAGTTGTAGTTAAGTTATAACAATAACAAGCACATTGTTTTTTTTGTTGTTTTTTTGTTTTTTTTTTTTTGAGACAGAGTCTCGCTTTGTTGCCCAGGCTAGAGTGAGTGCCGTGGCGTCAGCCTAGCTCACAGCAACCTCCAACTCCTGGGCTCAAGCGATCCTCCTGCCTCAGCCTCCCAAGTAGCTGGGACTACAGGCATGCGCCACCACGCCCGGCTAATTTTTCTAAATATATTAGTTGGCCAATTAATTTCTTTCTATTTTTAGTAGAGACGGGGTCTCACTCTTGCTCAGGCTGGTCTCGAACTCCTGACCTGGAGTGATCCGCCTTCCTCGGCCTCCCAGAGTGCTGGGATGGCAGGCGTGAGCCCGGCCAAGTCCGTTGTTACTGAATGTGGACTCTGAGCCTGTGGGAGTGGATTGGGCTTGTTTAATGACCGCAATGTGGAATAGCTAGAGGACCATTTCCCTGCCTTAGCTGCTGTGTACAGAATGCGCGCGTTGGACTTGCTTCATTTTTTTTTTTTTTTTTTTTTTTTTTTGGTCCCATTTTCTCCGCCTGCATGTCTCTGTCTTAGAGTGTAGGCTCTTGTCACTGCTCCCCAGGGCTATTCCTGTAACCTGCCCTTCCTGGCCATACCTGTGAGGCACCTGCAGTCACGTACCTGGCCCATAGCATGGAAGGTGAAGCCCTTGGATGCGCAGGGACTTGTCGGAAGGAACCGTGTCATGGAGAGGCAGCGTGGCGTTCTTTTGCTGGTTCTGCATTTCTCCCAGAAGCACGTGCGGCACCTTTGCCCATGGCTTAGGTGAACGCCAGAACCTCCTGAGGTCTGGCTCAGGTGACAGCCCTCCCCTGCTGCTCTTTTCCTCCCACCAGCCCCGCCCCAAGGTGCAGGCAGACAGCCACACAGCCGATGTCGCCCACCTCAGTTTTCTAGCCACGTTCCACACCGACATTTTTTGTTTGTTTGAGACAGAGTCTCACTCCGTTGCCCCAGCTAGAGCGCCGTGGCGTCAGCCTTGCTCACAACAGCCTCAGACTCCTGGGCTCAAGCGATCCTCCTGCCTCAGCCTCCTCCCGAGTAGCTGGGACCGCAGGCATGCGCCACCATGCCCGGCTCTTTTCAAATTATTGATGCATTCAAGAGGAGTCACTATATCTCTGTAATTGTTGCTAGCCGTGTGGAGTCACACTCGACACCCGAGTGCAAAGGGTTAAAAAAATGTTGAACGCCGGGCACGGTGCTCACGCCTGTCATCCTAGCACTCTGGGAGGCCGAGGCGGAGGATTGCTCGTGGCAGGAGTTTGAGCACAGCCTGATCAAGAGCGAGACCCGTCTCTACTATAAATAGAAAGAAATTAATCCAACTAAACATATATAGAAAAAAATGAGCCGTGGATGGGCATGTCTGTAGTCCACTACTCGGGAGGCGTGAGCAGGAGGATCCTTGAGCCCAGGAGTCTGAGGTTGCTGTGAGCGAGGCTGAGGCCCGGCACTCCACCTAGCCTGGCGACAGAGCGAGACTCTGCCTCGAAAAGAAAAACCAAAAACAAAACAAAAAAAGAAAACCCAGGACTTATGAGAGAGAAAGAATGCAAACATTCTGAGCTACTCACATTATCAGTAAAAGGCATAAAACACTCCCGAGACGTAAGCACCCAGTATCCCGATGGAAATCCCCGCGTAGTCCAGGGCCATCCACCGCCGGCAGGTCTTCTCGAGGCGATGCAGGAGAAGAGTGGTAGCCCACGGAGCACAGCATGCAGACCTGCGGGGAACGCAGACCCATCTCAACCACGCGCAGGGAGAGCGCAGGCACCCACATGTCGGGGAGGCGCTGTCAGAGCCAGCACTGACACGCCCCCACGCCCCGGCATCGCCAGCCGGCTCTGGCGCTATCCAAAGCGCAGACAAGCCGCCGGTCATCTCTCGGGCTCACCTTGTCCCCGGGTGTGAATGGGAACA